ACTCACACACATGTGATCTTTAACCCTCTAAAAAAATGAGTAGCTGGGCAGTATCAGCTGCATCAGTGCTTTCAGCCCAGGCTATCGAAAAAATGTCATACTCTGCTCTTTTTGTTTCGAATTGTCTATTAATATCAGAGATGTCTTCAATTCTGCGAACCATAGTGTTGCGCGCCAGGCAAGCACTAGCAAACTCTTGCTTTTTTCTCAGGACAGATATTCTACACAAGTTTCCTCATACATTCTTTGACAAGTTTACCTTCAGTAAACGGTTTGCAGTGTTTCGCTATTAGTTTTGCCACCTCATAACTTGCCCTTGCCGCATTTTCATTCGACTGACCAATTCTTACAAACAAGGATTGCTGTGAGGTTATTCCAGCTTCCAGATGCTTCAGTCTTTTCAACTCGATCATTTTTAGTCAACTCGTCCTAGTTAGGTTGCTTCGTTTGAAAACAGTCACACTCCCAACAAATCAAGCACACACGCTTGTTCAGTCCTTCAGTGAAAAAGTACTCCAGTTTCCACTTTTCCTGGAAGCGGTGCTCTTCATCATTAACTCTCTTTTTTAGTCGCGTTATTCGTTGTAGAACAGGAATGCAAATCATACTAATAAGAAGTTAACGAATCCCACTTTTTATTTTTTCCAGTTTAGCTAAAAGCACTTTATCATAGGAGTTATGTAAGTGGGGTGGAACAATTTAGCTTTTTGTAGAATTAAATAATCAGTACAGTGAAACTGTTGTGGCTAAGGATGTTCCTTAAAATTGATTGTAGTATAATAAAAGATTTTTGACTGGGATATTCTATAACACAAAAATTCTGTTCTCAGAACGGGCTAGCTTCTGCTAGTCATATATATGAAAAGTTAACGAACCCATCTTTTTATATTTTTATTTGGACAAGACCCTTTTAGTAATGTCAATAGATAGACTTTTCTTAGTTGGTTAAAAATAAAATTACATCATTGATTTTTTGCCAGTATCGGACGCCATTGAACTTTCTACTCATAACGTTCCTACTTTTTAATATGTATAATGTCGTTTGCGCAGAAAAAATCCAAGTTGAATGTATTATTATCATGATGAGGCCGTGGGCCAGTTCAAATGTTAACTCGGGTCGCATTTAGCCTGCGGTCCGGACTTTGGACATCCCTACACCAGTCCGCACGCAGCTGGTGGTGGTCGCATGGTAACAAAGCGTGGATTTTAATCGTGACTTCTACTTTCTACAAACTTTACACTGCTCACAAACCTCCAAAATTAATCTACCATCGCCCATTGGACATTCGAAGGACAGGTACTTCGGTCCATTGGGAAGTGACGGGTGAGTGAGCCAATCTGCAACACCAGGACAGGTACTGTGAGCTCATTGGCAATACGTCGTGCACCAGGCAGAAGTCATATATTAAAATTTGCGCACCTAATCGTCAGCCCTCGGTAGCTCAGTGGTAGAGCAGCGGACCAGAAATTCGTGGACCGGGGTCCGATTCCCCGTCGAGGCGCATTATTGTGCATGGATTTTAATCGTGACTTCTACTTTCTACAAACTTTACACTAACAAACATCCAAAGCGTTCTGTTTGTTGCTATCATAAATGTTATTCGTGATATATTTCGTGGACAAGGACTTAAATTTAGCCGAAATCAAAAGGTTGTATATGACGATTACATCGGAATGTTAGCAGGAAAATGGCAGCAGAAACTTTGACGAATTTGCACGGTTCTGTCTTAGAGGCTCTCGAATTCTATCTCGCGGTAAGGACCCTGGAGTCATTGATCATCTGGAGGATTCAGCTTACATTCTTGTTAGTGCGAGTTCATCACCTTTGGAGCTATTGTAAACTCGCTAGTAGTTAAAATTTTCACTTCTCTGGCCGTGTTTCACTTGGTTGCTCAATGGACCCCATGCCAAAGCTTCCCTGTTATCCACAATGAGACTAATCCTATGATTACAACTCACTGCATTGCTTTTTGGTTTCGGCGAAAACAATGCTTGCTTCGGCACTTTGTCCGATTACAGCTTATTTTTTGCACGCAAATGTTATATTTTTGTCTGAAATTCTGTTATGACATCTGCTGTACACGACAATAGGATTTTATCAATGTACGCAGGTTTTCCTCCAAACACACCAAACTTATGCACATTAGTCAGATTTTCCTTCTCAGAGCTATTACGAATTGTTATATCTCAGTCATGCGACACCTGATGCCAAAATAAACACTAGCAAGCAACCAGGCAGGTGCTTGCCCTACCACAAATTTTGCCACACATGTGTGCGAAACTTACTACAGCTTCAATCATTCCAACATCATTTCCATAAGGTGGCTTAAATTCTGTTATCCGATTCCGTGGACTCATCGCTTGCGCACGGAAAATTGTTGACGGGGTCCGATTGCGGATTTGACTATCACCGCGGCCTTCATGAGACAACCGCAGTACGCCTGCGCCTACAGTGCGAGTATGGAGTGCTTGCGCTGCACACCACAGCTCCATCCACATACCTCATGTCTGGTGTAAAACCGAAGGCCAGGAGTCATGTGGATGGGAGTCACGTTTCCTCAACGGAGCCGGCCCACCCTCCTTCAACATGCGCGCCATTCATTTGAACAGGAGGAAACGTGCACACCAGACGTACACAGGCCGTAGCCCGTTTCACATTGGATGGAACAACTTTTTGAGACCAGCACTGTCACCAAGATCGGGCACTCGGTCCGCGCCAGCAATGATTAACAGTCTTTTGAAGCCAGCAATCGAGGTGGTGGTTTTCAACTGGTAGGCACCTTATCGACATTCTCATCCAGTCCAACCAAAGTTGGACTATCATTCGACAGGCGCTGTCAAACATGCGACAGCACAGACTGCGGGTGGTTTGGGGCTATATCCGACCACGAATGCTCTCGAATTATTGCTCATATTTGGCTGGAGAACTGAGCGCATGATATTTAACTTCGTCGTTTGATGTTTAACGGAGCCGCAAATCGCGGAAACCGTACCAGTCGCACATCGGTACCTGGATCACTGTTCAACGGAACTGTACTAAACTGTTGACCCTTTGTTGTTGTGCTGTAGTGTCTGTTAGACTCGAACAGCCTGTGCTTTGTTTGTGTTTCCTGCAATCTTGTTAGCCGGCTACCTGTGTGTGTTACGTTGGCTAACATTACATCTCATTGGTTGGAGCCCCTAAGTGCTCAGTCGATGAAATGGCACAATGCGTGAAGAGGCGGTTTGTTCTCGGTAGTCCTTTCGATTACAACTGATTTACTCTAATTGTCTGCTTTACCCATGAAGCGACGTATGTCACTACAATCGGCGGTCGTTGTCTCGTTGCTATCTGCCTTTTTCGTAAACATTCCACGCGTAAACTCCACATGTGTGTAAACTAATAACTTTCACCATCTATCGAGCTGACCTTAGTAGATTGCCATCACTCAATTTGGATTGTGTTCTTCGTTTGCAGTTCGGCAGGGTCGTCTCTTTAGAATACCTTCACCATGTTGATCACGGATTGAAAAGTAGTGTATATGGGAGCCTGTGTAAGTTTCACACGAGATTGTCAGCTTCTAGTCTCCGATGGCAGATGAGATACAGTAGTCCATGTGTATGCGCTCGCTATCTTCCACAGCTCTGTTTGATCCTAGTGATCTGGAACCAAAATTGGTAGCACCACACTTCAAGACTTTTATTCTTTAATTGACCCACCATACTGTGTGAAAAGCACAACCACTATCGTTGTGTGGTGCTTCATATGGTGTCGCTATATATCATATAGTTTCCAAAGCTGCCATCTAACGTCACTACTTAGTGTTTTGTTAGGGCGCTGGTCTACTGGTTGATGTACCCCGCCTTGTACCGTATGCTTTTTAGAGGTGGCGCTGCAGTTTATCGGGACTTGACTTTGTGATCTCTACTGATGTTGAATGCATCAATTTACATTGTAGTGATTCACACGCGGTAGAAGTGCAACAACTACCCCAAAATTCTCTGCCCCAGCTTCTTTGAAATGAATGTCCAATGCTGGTTTGACTCGCTTTTTGAGTTAGGACGCCAATTTCTTCCTCTCCTTCACATTGCTAGTCAAGTCAGCTTCCTTCACGTGTTCCCTCAATTACCTTATTTGCATCTTCCATATCGGAACACAACTTGTCTATCCATCATTTATCTGGTTATCTATACAAGCGTTTACTTTTCTTCCCTATTTCTGAAGCGTCATATTTAACCTTCACGTAGTGTGGTGGCTATCGAATCAGACTACTACCCAACCATTAAGTAGCATCTTTCTGGTCTTCGTATGGATCCAGGTAATCTAGTGTTAACCGACCGCTATGCCACATTTGGTGGCGCGGGGTCACCAGTGCCGATTTATGCACGCAAAGCGATGCTAAAACGTTGGTCGGTTATAAGTTGTGTGCATTGAAAGATCCAGAAATTTTCGTTCCTGTATTCTCTAAGGGCATTGGCTCCTGATAAGTTACGAACTTCACACACATGAGTAGTATCTTGCATGACGTTTAACGGATTCCCCAATTCTGGCCAGCGTTTCGCTCTGCCCATTTTTCTTCCGCTGAAGAGACCACACGGCTCATCTACATCATCATCGTCCTTTCCAAACAATCTGCTGATGGATTGCCATTTGCGACGTTACTACTTCACTTTTCTCTGTGTTTTGTTTTCCGTACTCTCATGGTGGACGGTGCAGCTTGTACACACACTTTTGTCATCCTCAGCAGCCACTTCACCCCACCTCGAGCCGGCATCCTCGTGCTACCATTTCGATTGATTCGAACTGTTCTACCATCGGTTGCAACGCACTCTGAATGTTGACTGTTTTCTTCGCACTTGCGAAGTATTAACTGTTGTTTGTTTCTGATCCACTACCGAAAATGCTGGACAAACGCACCTCTAACCAACTACAGCAGCACTTCACGAAACCCATCACACTTTTGAATCAAAATATTGCACACTGTGGATGGCGATTACTCTCCCGTGATTTTCGTTTACAGGGTGAATCTCAGAAGATCGTTCATCTTCTTACTGAATTTCAAAGCGCATACGTTGAGCAAAACGCGGACCGGGTGAAAGATCAATTTCGGAACCCGGATTCTGTCATGATTCTGGCCTACGCCATTGTCATGCTTCACACGGACATGTACAGTCCTAGTGTTCGACCACAGTCTAAAATGACGAAGGAGGAATTCGTGCGCAACCTACGCGGCGTCGATGCAGGTAAGCTCGCATGCATGCAGTGTAAAAGGTATCCGGCTACTCGTGTGCCGCCATTTTTCCAACGCTGTTTGTGCGTTGCGTTTCCTGCCATGAGGAGAATGTTGGATTTGTATGAGTTTCTGGATAGTCCACACCCTCAGTAACTCATTTTCAAGCAAATACATCGATTGCGGTACACTTGAATGGTGATTCTAAGGAGCAATTTTAGCATGTTAAGTTTTTTTCACTATGTGCACGGTTTACCTACAGCTTTGCTTTTTGCTCTTTCTTTGAGCTGGTGCGGTCATTTCTGTCCGGTGGTTCACTACATACCACATACTATCTCTAAGCCTACATCCTACTGAATCTCTTAAATCCTGAACGTCGCAGCTGACTAAATCAATTGCCTTTTCCTAGTGGTCACAACCCACGTGCTATTGCTGTCTAAGGATGGTGGATTGACCATCTGCGAAACTTTGTACCATCTAAAGGATCTGGTAGGGAATTCTATTTCTTATGTACCATTTTCAATTTAATTTGGATTTTTTTTCGAACCAACCTGACCATTTTTTGAATCGAACTGGTAGCGGTTTATTATTATTTTTCTATAGAACATGCGCAGTTTATTAACAACACAACTAACGATAACGCTAAGGATAGCAAGTTGTTGCGAGGCTGTCCCATCGTCAAGTTCACGATCATATTTTGAGCGCAATTCTTGCCTTTCTGCAGCATTATCATTGTGATGTTCTCTTGAGTGATCAACCTTAGCGCCTTATCAAGCATCAGGTTCGCCGATCATTTGACCTACGAAAACACGTTTTCTACTGTGTTTGACATGTAAGAGTGAGGCGACAACAGTTTTAGCTAATACGGCGAACACCAAGACCAGAGATTAAGAAATGTTTTCAGGTAAAATCTCTTTAGATCCAAACGTTTACATGGTAAGCATTACGTCTTGTATGTATCAGATCGGGCTGGGGATTGATTTTTAAGTCAAATGGATACATTAAGACAGGACTCTTGACGGTAGGCCAAATGAATAAAGGGATATTAGTAGATAAAAGCTCAGCAATCTCAGGTGACAATCACACAACCAAGTAATAGTTTCCATTGTCCACGTCAGTATTGTCGGCTGTATGAGCCACTTTTACACACAAAATTCCACCTTCAGATGATGGTTGAATTGCTTGCCGAAGCCTTACAAGAAGCGTTCATGGAATTATGTGTGTGTATGTGTGTCAGCTGTACGCCGTAACGGCGCTTCACTGCCGCGCGACCACCACCAGTCGCGCGCGGGCTGAGTATACCGCGAGGACGCCCACCCCTACGCGGATTCGAACCGGTGACCTTATGGTTGCAAACCAAACGCGCAGACCACTCGACCACCGGCTTGTAGAACTTATTTCACCCTTATAGAACCACACCGCAATATGCTCGCGAATCCTCCGAGCTAGGCGTTTCATGTCGTGCACCAGGAGGACATTCTATCTCAAGGGTTTTGCAAGCAATGGCTTGTTGTAGTAAACAATTCTAAAGCTTGCCACGGAAAGCGTTTTCTCAATTGCGTCTTTCACGCGTCGACTTAGGATGCCAGCAGCAGAATCGTTCTTATAGGATACTTTATAAATAGCTCTTTCTTAGGAGCAATGCTCTTAGTTGACTTTTATTTGCGTTACCTGAGATGGTTCATAGTAGATTTGTCGGGGTAACCATTTTCTCTCCGGACGTCTGATTTCCTGTAGTCCCTCGTTGACGGTAGCCGGTGAACAAAAGACCCTCCTTAGATCGTCCAACAAAAGGATTCTGGCTTTGTCCATGATCCATGTGCCGTTCATTTACACTCCGCAACGTATAGTGCCACAAGCCTTTCGACGAACATGCAGGACTTTATGCCATTGAGATGTCATGGTTGACCGCCCTCGAGTGAACTATACTTTGATTTTTCATCCTCACAATTAGCGTCACTATCCGGTCTTTGACTGAAGCAAGATGATGTTTTCGCGCGCACCTCTTGAACGCGCCTGTGTCCGTCGTAGATGGACGTCGAACCACTTCTGTCGATGAGGGTGCACGCCCCTTGCTTTGTTCTGTATGGGGCAGGTAGTCAATAGCATAAACCTCCGCGGAAAGTCCTTAAGATTGGATGCCGGAACGTGCGCACACTCTTGCACCAAAACGCGAATGAGCGCCACATTCGACGCACAGCACTCGTCACAATGGAATTCGCTCGCCACGAGATCGACATTGCCGCACTCAAGCAGCTGGTTAACCATGGCAAGCTGCATGAAGTTGGTTCTGGGTACACCTTCTATTGGTTGAAAAACGTCACTACAGCACCACGTGAAAATGAAGTCGGATTTGCGCTATTCGAACGTCTTATTGGCCAGATGGTGGGAGAGCCGAAGGGCATCAATCCACACTTGCCAACGCTCCCCTGCGACTTAAAAGTGGTAAATCTCCAACTTTAAGTAGCCCGTATGGTCCCGCCATGCGTTCTCCTGATGATACAAAAGACCAGTTTTGCACTCAGTTGCCCTCCGTGATGCGGTCTGTACCGTGGAGCGTGGATGATTTCAATACACACGTGGGGTTTGGTGCCGCTTTATGGACGGACCTAAACTGTGCGTATGGTATTGGAGCAGCCCATGTGAACGGTGACCGACTGCGCTCACTGTGCGCCACTCAGGGCCTGACGATCACAAACATCCAGCTTACAATGGGTGCGAGTGATACAGTTACTGTGACGCACCCACGGTGTGGTCACGTTCATTTGCTCGACTTTGTCATCGTATACCGGCTTGACATGTGTGAAGTGCGCATGACACTTCTACTGCGGGGAGCTGAGTGTGGTGCTGATCACAAATTGATGCGGACCCAATTGTACATGTTTTAGTAAATTTATTTATTGCTCGCCTGCCATTAATCGGCGCAAACTTTATGTCTTTTTCCTATGTACTGCTAAGAAGAGAATAAAACTGGTGAAGGCGATGGCTACCCGCGTTGGCGATGTTGACTCTACCGCCTCAGCCAGGGATCTGTGACTCCACGTTAAAGGACAGCTGCGACCGAAGAAACAATCGGGTGCGCAAACTGTAAACGTACCGATTGCTATGAGGACAACACATTGCGGCCATTGGCGCATTAGTGTCGGCGAAGAATGCAGCTTTCTCTGTGCATGTGTAGGACTCTGCTGACTATCAGAAGAAGTGTCAGTTTAGCAAATTTCGCGAACTCCGTCACATCGGAAGTACGTGGTGAACGGAAAAGTCAGAGTACATGGAATGCTACACTGAACGCCGCCAACATAAAGTATTCTTTAATTCATTAAAGGCGGTGTTTGGGTCCACATTACAGCCACTGAGGACGCGGGTTCATGTTACCTCAGGTGCTGCCTGTACATATACTACAGACATAATGCAGATCTGGCGAACGCACTTTGATTATCTCTCGAACCAACGTTTAGAGATTGACTAGGAAACGTTGCATGGGATACAACAACACAAAATGTAGATGTGTCGCTGACACACTGACATTGGATGATACGCAGAGAGCTCTTGTTCAGCTACGAAACCGCAAGTGTGCCCGAGCCGACGGAATACCACCAGAAGGGTTAAAACACGGCGGACTCACGTTGATACATTCGTTGCACCACTTGGTGCAACGCGTGTGAATTGAAGTGGAAGTGCCGGCTGATTTGAAGGATGTCCTTGCGTTACTACCGTTCCAGAGTAAAAAGAGCAAACAATGCGCCACGAATTATTGGGGCATCAACCTGCTGAGTTATGTTGGTAAATTGATAGCACAAATCATGCTTGTTCAAGCGCACTTGGCGGACGAGCAATGCGGATTTCATTCAGGCTGCAGCACTACAATTATGGTGTTTGTGGCTCTCCAGTTACAGAAGAAATGCGGAGTGCGACGGCAGCCACTGTACTAACTGTTTGTAGACTACCCCAAGGCATTTAGCACGGTGAACCGCGATACACTGTGACTGACGTTGGGTAAGTTTGCTTGTCCGCTTAATTTTTCAGGTTTTATTTGTCTGCACAGTGGCATGTGGGCGAGGACACAGCCGAGTGGACAAACCTCAGATGACTTTGATATGAAACAAGGCTGTCCTAGCCTCTGCCCTGTTTAAAAATAAATGCAGTGATATATTGTACTTTCGATGCTGCTAGTGATTACGGTGTCCGTATGGAACACCGTATTGATGGTGCTTTGCTGAACATCCGTCATTTCGGGGCCAGAACCCTAGTGTGTCGGACAACCATTCACATATTTCTCTTTGCCGACGATTGCGTGTTGTTTGCACACAGTGTGGATGAGTTGCAACGCATGATGACAGTTCTCGCTTCGACAGCGGCCAATTTCGGGCTCACCATTAACACAAGGAAGACTGTTTGTCCTGTTCGGCCCCCACCATAAACCTAATCCCTGTGTGGGCCCCAAATCCACATTGGTGCCGACGTGATGGAAAGCACTTTCCGCTTTTTCTACCTGGGTAGTGTTCTTTCGACCGACTTGCAGATGATGATCGAGCTGTGCACTCGCGTATCGATGACGGCTGCATTTGATAAGCTGGAATATTGTGTGGACTAAGCACCGGCTTACTTTTGGCACGAAGCTGAATCTAGACTAGTCGATGGTTCTGTCCGACATCGAAACTTAGACTCTATGGGAAGGACGTCGGTTATCTGGAGCGCTTCCAGCGACAGTGCCTGCAACGGATTCTGCACATGGGCTGGGGTGAACGAGTTCCAGACACGGAAGTGCAGCATTAGCATGTATGCTTTGGACCGTGTACTTATGCTGCGTCACCTGAGATGAAAGAAAGGCATCAGCAGTACGCCGGTACGCAGTACGGACGCTTCGCTGCCGCGCAACCACCGGTCGCACGTTGGCTAAGGACACTGCGAGGGTCGCCCTGCCTCTACGCAAATTCGTAGCCGCGCCGCCATATTGCGAGACAAGCTCGTTACCTTTTAGACTACAGGCCTACGTCACCTGAGATGGATCGGATAAGTCCGGCATACGGATTCAACGAGGATACCCAAGCAGAGCAGCGGCAGTGGGAAAACCGATATTACATACCAGGGTGTGATCAAAGTGATAATATCACAAATTAATGCTGATTTTAGATGTTGCGGAGCGATGTCAGTGGATCGGTGCCAATCTCGTACCCACATAAACAATGCGTTTTTCCATCTGCACGAGGTAGTGTTACTGCATCTGGAAGAGAAACACCGAATACGGAAGCGACGGACACCAACGGAGTCTGGTTGACTGACGTCAAACGCATGGTACTGTAGCACACACGGTCGCGAGTCCCACAGCAAAGCCGGTCTGGCAGACCACCAGCGGGGCCACTAGTAGTAGTATTAACAGTATTTGCAACAGCCGAACGAATAGACATGGAGCTATACGAAAACCATGGAAATCACTAGATTAATCACCACATCATCAACATGGCACATTAGCTGAAGGTGGGCAGCACACTTCAGCTACTGTGCCACACTCCACACTCCATTTCTTCGTTTTTATCTTTTTCAATTGTTAAACATCTGAATCTAAATAGTTATGTACACAGATCTTCCACTGGATTCGATTTCGCGCCATATCCCGAATTGTTTCCAGCCATGGGCACTCCTCGTCCTTTGGTCACCAAACAGGCAGACGTGTGGATTCAACGGTAACAAGACGTGTAGTCAACGATTTCATATTCTCTCGCTAAGTGAACGGCTGACCGCCACGCGGTCTCTTCCTGCCAGGTCCTGCACGAGCGAAAAGGGCGCAATGTGGCAAGCGCTCAGCTGACATACGCAGGACGTGACTGAGCCATCTTAACTGATGAAGCAAAACCAGTTTGTTGAAGGTAATACTCGCATCCCCTAAGACACGACGTCTGACTTCACTGTTGCGGATGTTGTTTCCCCCACATACGAGCAATCCTCCTCAAACACCCACTGTCGTAGGTCGAGAGCCGGTGCATGTCATCTACGCGAACTGGCCACGACTAGCTTTCATGTAGCAACACCGCCCGAACGGTGGCACTGTAAACCTTTACCAAGAGGGAGATATCCCGATGAGGCCACAATTGCTTCAGGTTAACGAACGCTGACCAAGCTTTGGCTATACATAGAGAAACTTCCTTCAATATAGTGCCACCAGCAGACACGCAGCTGCCTAGATAAGCAAAGCTATCTATTTCTTCAAGCTGTCTACCATAATAGTGATCACGGGAACGGTCTAGTGATAACCCTGGAGCATCAGTTTACACTTTGACGGGGCGAAGCACATTCCGTACTAACATGCCTCAATCGCCAAACGGTTTAGAATGGTTTACATGCTTTGTGAGTCGTCGCCAAGCAAAGCGGTGTCATCGGCGAAATCTAAGTTGGTCGCTCACTTGCACGGCAGTAGCTGCAGACCTAATTTTGACAACCTTTCAGAGTTTTCGGCAGGACGTCTTCAATCGCCAAATTGAAGAGAAAGGGGACATAGGGCAGTCCTATCGTACACCGCTATTGACAGCGAATGACGACGAAAACTTGCCGAAGACCCTCACTGCCAGAGCTGCGGAGGTAGTATGCGTGTTGGATGGCAGTGTACTTTTCAGGGACCCTATTCTCGAGCAAGAAACGCCGTAGCGCTGGTCGATCAACCTAGTCGAATGCTGCAAAAATGTCTAAGAATGCAATGATGGTAGGCCTCTGGTAAAAGTGGCGGTGTTCGAGGATTGGGCTGAGTGTGAATATTTGAACCACACACCCGCGGCCAGGACGGAAGCCAGTTTGTTCTTCCCGGTACTTCGTTTCACGAATTGGGGATAGTCTACGGAGCAGAATTTATGCCAATAGCTTAGAGGCAGCCGAAATGAGACTAATCCCCTGGTGGTTGGTGCATGAAGTGCGAGAACCTTTCTTAAAAATCGGAACAAAAACTGATTCGCCCCAGGAAGAAGGCACCTTTTCCTCAATCCAGATTTTGGAGAACGAGGTTAGCTGGCTGATACCAACTGCGCCACCATATTTGAACAACCCGGAGGAAGTCCGTCCGAACCGGCAGAACGGCGCACTTCATTATGGTTAGGTCCCGCTGGGCTATTCCTGAAGCGTTCAATTAGATCCAGAGAGCGCGTGGAGATCCAGACCTCAATAGGGTGCTGAATAAGACCACAAACTAACTGCCCGGAAGAGACCATAGTCCACTGCAATAACGCCCAATGTTCATCAATGTCTTACGGAGGGTCACAGCTAAGCGCATCGGCCAAGGAAGCATGATAGCTCTGCTGAACCGAGAGAGTAAATAGTTCATTTGTATCCATCTTACTGTTCTTCGCTTTCGGTGACCCTCCGAAACTCATGCAGATATTCGCACAAACAAGAGCATGGTCTGAGTCAAGAAAGATGGACCAGATTTATTTGCAATCGTTTACACTACCACACCATCTGAAACTGATTGCGATATGATCAATCAGAGACCTAGCTTGGGACGCCAAAAAAGGGGTCACCCAAGTAGTGGAACGTCTCATCGAATGCCGTAAGCTGGTGTTCAACAGAAATAAACGATTGTCTTCGCACAATGTGAGAAGTCTCCCCCTTATCCTAATGGCTCTCATCGAGCACATGGTGATCACCGAGGTGACTTTCGCATGACAATAGACAACCGACCCGTGCCTTGAGAGCCTCAGCAAAGACAACAATGTCGTATTTGCAGGCTCTGCTCAAGAGCTGATGAAGTTCACGATAAAAATCCTCTTTGACTGAGTCGGAACTGCAGTCAATGGGAGCGTAAGCAGAGACCAGAAACAAGTTGCCTCTCTTCCCACTATATCTGTTGATTTTGCATGATCTCTGAAGCCGAACTACACACAGTCGGTTATTAAATGGAAACCAGTCCAGCAGCGCGGCTTCATCTTGGCTGCTTAGCGCTACATCGACGCCCGCTGCAACTGCCTCTGTGTCACCAGATAGACGTAGGTGAAATGCAGCTTCGTGGTCGGTGGGAGATCTCAACTCAATCACCGTACTGGGGTCTTGCAAGCGTGTTTCAGAAAGACAGCGAACATCGATGGCAAGGGATTCCAAGGTGTGCGCAAGACCAGCTTGCTTCCCGATCTGCATGAGTGTACGTACATTGAAGCATGTCAGGTGGAACGAGGATCGAGGCTGAAGGTGGGTTACTGGACGAACTCTGTTGATGTCGACGAAACCATCGGGAATGGAGTAATGGAAACAGGAATCAGCTGGTAACGCATAACAGTGATTGCTAACAAGTGATCAGGTAACGTGTGAATAAGGTGTGTAGGTAGCAGAAGTTAAGGTAACTAAACGCGACCACCAGGGGCCGATAACAAAAAGGCGATGAGCCAGTCGAATGGGTAGGCATCGTCAGCGCGGCGATTGGTAATTACGCTGCCTCCGTTGCGATTTACTATCCCGTACCAGTAATGCGATCGATGTGACAGGTGTGCTTCATTATCGCTGAAGTTGATACGCCCTCGAGTCGAGCCACTGCAATGTGAGTCGGCAGCACAGAAGAGCAGCGGGAAAAGAATTGCCCTATGTAACATGTATTGGCCCAGGTTAAGCTGGTGCGGTTGTAACAGAAGTGCGGATGCGTATCGTCTTGTTGGCTTATTTGTCTCACTGAATATAGCGGAGTTCTATTATAACCGAAGTGTGTAGAAACTGGGGTTAAAAGATATGGGAGATGCTTCTGCTGTCAGGCCAGCCCAAGTTCGACATTTCGTCACGAGGTGTAGAGACGGTCGAGTTGACGACGAACCATAATTACTCAATTCTGGCATCCACATACCCGGTAAGGCATTTTGTTTTTCTATAAGTTGTGTATTTGTGCGGTGTTCATATGGTGGCATAAATGTGTTATTTCACGTGATAAATTTTTTTGGGAGAATTCCATCCATCTCCTTGGTTTTATCGAGAAATCTCTGCGATTGTGACAGCAATGACCGATATAATCTTATGTAGTCAGATCTTGTCACCACTTGACCCTTTCGATCCTCTGCTCCGGCTATTCTCACCCCATACCCACGATTATTCGGTCACTGGGCTTAGTAAGCATGTTTGCCGGAGCGTTGCCAGAGTCCCAACGCTTCAAAGCACATTTAACTCACTCTGGATTGCATGCATTCGTTGTTCGACGTCTGAGGCCTCACGGTTGCGTCTCACATTTGTTCGTTTTCGCACCCAAGCTGTTAGGCGATTTTTGTTTTGAGTGGGATGAGATACTGTCAGTTTCCCTTGTCATATTCACGTACCAATTGCAGACAATTCTGTTCGACCTTGTGCATATCTGCACACACAATGTTGGTGATGAATTTCGACACTTTTGCTTTTGTCTTTTGACTGCAACGACTTGCCAACTTATCCTCCGATTTTGTTCTCAGGAGAGGATATAAACCGCGACATGCTGTCGGCTATTTACGATCGAATAAAACAAGCCGAAATGTCCGTATTACCAGATCACACTGATCAGGTGAGGAAGATCCAGCTGCATCTCATGGGTCCGAATTGCCCGACCAGTCTAGCTGTCCCACAACGCCGCCTTGTATGCTACTGTCGGTTATACGAGGTACGTTCCTATGCATCTTACCGCACATATTTTGTCTTGCACGTACACTGCTTGCCTAAGTGTATTGATTCAGACAGCAGGAGTGCATGCGATGATTTCAGAACATTGGTAGGATTCTTGGTCTACTTGTAAAGAGCTGATGTGTCATCTAGTTAGCTAGTTTTGCATCGATTATCCTGACCCACACTTGCATATAGCATAATGCTTTTCCGGAACCTTATTTGAAGTGCAACCTCACACGGTTGATAGTGAATGTGTTACTTCCTAGATAACGCTGATGAATTCATTATACTTGTCTCTTCGCTTCTCTTTTATTTTCTTTTATTCTGCTACTCACTCGTGTTTGTTACAAGGACCTCTCTCATTCATATTGTTGCTTCCGTATATAGTGCATGTGGTGACACCTCACGTCAATCGGTAACCGGTTCTCCTAATGTATGTTCTTAAGGGCTGCGTTTATGCTGGTATGTACTATGGACCATCAGTAACGTGGAGCGCTTTGTTCTCATAAACAGCAACAGAGGCGACAACGGCAATACACGAGTTCTTCGTGCTGACACCTCGCTTCCACGCAGCCATAAGCCCGCGGTGGCGTCCTTGTTGCTTTGCAATAGGGACTGTGCTAAGGGGAGTTGCCACAAGACTTACACCCATTAAGCTCATGATCAAGGTGCTCCACCACCATGCGAAAAATTTACCAACCACAATCAGCTGAGCATCGTGCGCTGGCCTGCAACAGTCTATGTATGTTGAAGATCACATTTGACTCGGTTGATCACGCATGTACGTGATGCTATCTTTGAACGGCATCCTGCGAGTAGCCTCTCAGTGGTCTGCAAAAAATAAGATGCATCATAACTATCGTTCCTCTTTTTTTTTCTCAATTTCCTTATCGAAATGCTTGCGAATGAAGGTCCGTTCTGCTTCTTCTGAGACGCGGATTTTCCCAGGCAACCGATCGACTAACGTGGACAGTATAATATTTTTATGGTCGTATCCAATCTTTGTGTAGGTGTTTCCGGGCAACCTGATGCAGCGCACTGCACACTACTGTCCCCACGTCGCACATTCAGAGAGGATACCAGTGCGGGACTGGGCCGACACGCCGCTAGTTCGCGCGGTTACTGAACATCCGCCGGGGATCATTAGTCGGTTTACTCATCTGGGTAATTTTACTTACTCTAACCTGGGTATCTTTTCAATGCCTGACCCATTTATGGGGACAGCACTATATTACTAGCAGTCAAGAGAGGGTGTGCTGTTGTATGCATTAGAAACTGGCTTCTTGGTGCGGAGGCCATAATGGGATTGGTCATCTTTGACTACCGGCGCTTACGCAACGTCGTTCGCACCTAATGGGATTGCTGAGCTATCGATGTGACGAGGCACCACACATTTGACAGCACATGGAATCGTCCTGTGAAGGTTAACTTTTCGCATCGGATGTGCTGTTGTTTCTCTGAATTCCCGTGCATCGGCCATCCAGGTTTGTATTGTTTGACTATACTGGGTGGGTCCTCATGGTGTTCGACCGCTGATATTGGAAATGGTATCAGGAAATTGCTCGAGAAACACGGTCAAGTCCGTCCATACCGTCCACACGGAAGTGACATTACGCAGTTGCAAGCTGTTTCTCTTTTGCCCATAATGTTTTATTTGTCCCCCACGAAGTAATTGTCCCCCTACCTAATTACGACCTCTTTCTCTCCACAGTTTATTCATTTTTTGCTAAACTTTATTCTCATTACAATAGGATTCATATCAAATGAAGCATTAGCAGCTCCATGTTGTCCCATATTTCGGTGAAAGAGCAAACTATAATGAGCAAATTAATTTTTGTCCCCACTTCACACCATTTCATTTGTATAGTTCCATTTGCAACCTTGAGAATGTGCCAAGACTAGATAGACTTAACAATGTGCTCGCACATGAACCTGTGAGTTGACGTGTTAATTACCAGCGACAAAGCTAGTATTCTGTTAGTCAGCACAACGTTCCATGTACCTGCAACTGTCTATAAGGATGACGGATTATAATCTTATTTTGGTACTCCAAAAAACTACGAGTTTTACGCTATTTAACGGTTTAATGAGACCGCTACACGACCTTTGTGTACTACTGTCGCGTCTGAAGTTATCGACGCACCAGACACTTTTTCTTAGTGAGCAACTCAGATCGGATGGCCAATGGTGACAAACACCATCATCGTCATCCTTTTACACCTTAGCTAATGGTGAGAAACACCTCAGCTATTGTGCCGAAACACATGAGAGAAAAGAAATCGCAACACAAGCACGCCAGTTGGACAACCAGTAGCAGGTGGACATCGTTCCGGAAAGTTAATAGCCGACTTTTATGCCGCAAATATAAAGTTATGTGTCAGAAATGAGATCGGGGCTAGAGCTGAAGCTGAGCGCGGGGGGGGGAGAGAACGTCAAAGGAACCCACAATACAAACACCATTGTGTTTAGCTCCTAGCAATGTCAACAAGTTTATCCGGCACAGCGTATTCATTACCTTTCGGGCCCCAACCATGGAGCCGAGACGTTACGACTGAGGCCAAATTCGAAGTAAGAGCCTTCATTCCTCTTGATCAAGCCATTACTTGGCCTCCTTTTCTCTTCTTCCATCCACATCCACTGCGCGCAAATAATGCACGTCACTGAAGTCGGTGTGATGGCATGCGCATCACGTGGCACAGCCATCGGAGGCTGTTTCCTGAAGTAACGGCTGCGCGGTTCACTTCATCTTCCTGTGCCATAAACAAGGCGTACAACAGACTGCTCACACGGTGTTCGCACCAGATGTGAGCCAAACTGCGAAGGCAACGGTAGTCGAGTGTAACTAGCCTCTATATGTCTGCCGACCTAATAGACCAGGTTTCACAACCGTACAGTAGGGTCGAATGTACCGCTGCATTGTACACTCTGCCCTTCGTGACGAGAGTGATGTGCCGGCGCCATAGGTGGTGAAGGTTATCAACAAGCGCCTCGAGCTATTGTTATACGGTACGTGAGCTACCCTTCCATTTCAAAAGCGCTGATATAACTGCCCAGGTAGTAAAATTTTTGAACGACTTCTAACTGATCCTCACCAAGGGTCAGCGCAGGAGGCGCTGCCTGCTAGTCTTGGAGTAAAGCCTTGCACTTTTAGAGTGCAAAACAAAGCCCGAAACGGCTGATAGTCAGTGCTAATATGTCCATTGCCGCTTAGCACGTTGGGGTGCTGTCACAGATGAGGGCAATATCGTCAGCATACTCCAAGTCAAGAAGTCGTTCTCCTGGGAGCAGCTCCACACCTCAGTCGTGTCTTGTGAACCTGGTCTCTATGACTTCGTCAGTGTCGAAGTCGAATAAGGAAGGTGACAGTGGGCATCCTTACCTTACATCGCTGGCGACATTGAATGTCAGCGACAGCTTGCCGTAAACCCTCACTCTACCCGAACTAAGCGTGTACAGCGGTTTTATGACATTGGCATGTTTCTCGAGCGCACCTTTCAAGGGTAGTCAGTCCTAAAGGACACATTGATCAATCGGATCGAAAGCACCTTTGATGTCGACTAACGCAACAACGGCGAGTCTTCAGTATATGTGACGGTGCTCCGACATTTGATGCAGTGAATATGTGCTAAATGCAGTAGTGACCTCACGAATCTTACTTTCACGAAGTCCGGTCAGTTTGTGAAGGATGACAGACAAGCAATTTTGAGGAGATGGTAATCAGAGTGCTTCCTCTGTGCTTGCTGCATTCCGAACGGGAGCATCTCTTGAAGATCGGGACAATAACGCATCGGCTCCAGTCGGTTGGGACATTTTCTTGCTCCGTGTTTCACCAGTAACTCGTCAATACGAGCAGGCCCCCCAAATATGAAGAGAGCTGTATGGAGGTCATCTGTTCCCGCATCCTTGGTCAGCTTCGGCAGTTCGATCGCACTTTCGACTTCTAAGCGAGTGGGCAGATCCAAAGGGGCAGCTCAGGAAGCAGGGCGATCACTGGCCCGTGAAGGATCTAACAATTCCGTTCGATTACATGCTTTTCAAATTACTCAGCCCAATGCTCCAAACCTTTTGACGAGTTGTGGATAGACTGTCCATTTTGGTCATAAATTGTTTCACTAAAACCAGCTCTTCTGCTGCCCGTTTCCCGGATCAGACGAAATAATTTCGATGGTTACCAAGAGCAGCGGCCGCTTCCATCTCCGACGCACGATGCGACCACCAAGATTCGCGTTCTTTTCAGGCTAACACGGAGTTTTGCCTGGAACTCCTGGTGAGTCTCAATGGTTTCGCTTCCAGTCCTAACGTGCCTCCTAGGATAGATAAGTTCGAGATTGCGTTGACCATTAGATTTACCACATAAGGATTTGCCCGCTGCTAGTAAGGTTTAATGAACATGCGACCATTGACCTTCAACTGTTTTTAGTGATCACTTGCTCAGCCCGAATGTCAGCGTACTTCGATACGCATTCAGAAGATCTGGCTTCGCCAGTTGGCTGATGTCTATGCGCTCACAGCGTCGCCGCGAGCGTCCACCAAAACGCATCCGCATATCACAGCACATACAAGTGCATAGTCACTTTCCACACATGTACTCTAAATCGAGCGACAGTTTTGGGCGCAGCCTCTCCAACGATAACTAATTGCGATGTGGTCTATTTGCGTCCAATGCTGTCGGGCGCCATGTCACCCTCGGGCAGATGCTGTGTCGGAAGTTAGCGCTCGCAAGAAATAAGCTGGCATCTTCACACAAATGAAGTAACCACTCACCGTTATCATTACGGGAGCCTACACCGTGTTGGCCCCCCAGATGCAACTCATCAGTGGACAATTTCACAACTTGAGCGTTCAGATCCCCCGCCAGCACAACAGTGTCCGTGCTTCTTCTGTGCCGAAGAATTTCGTTCAGTTGGCGATAGAACTAGTCTTTCACTGAGTCAGCACTGGAGTTTGTGAGCGCATAGATCGCAATGATAAGCAGGCACATATTAGTCCCTCGAAACTTTGAACTCTTGAACGAGCCAGCCAGTCGGACGACACACATCCGACTACCGATTGGGATCCAATCAATCAGAGCAGCTCCAGCCCTAGGACTCAGAGCAATGCCAATACCGGCTTGGCAGTTACTCGAAACTGCATCATCTCCGAATAGACGCCGGGAGAAAGTACTGCTGGTGTCACCTAAAGGGGATTGCTGAGTGAGCACATAGCTCGTGTCTTGCAGATGGGTTTCCGATAAGCAGCAGATATCGATCGAGAGGGTCTCTAATGTTCGGGAAAGTGATGCCTGTTCATCGATCTGTGACACTTTGCATACCTTGAGGCATGCTGCTCTGATGGATGGTCTAGGGCTCCAAATAGGAGCCTTTGTACTGGACTTGTCCGCTTGGTTTGACATGGGCTTGTGGATGGGGCATGAGGCCCCCCTTATTTGCGTGTGAGTTGAAACCAGAGGATAAACAAACGCCTATCAAAGCAAGATGGCGGGGTCCAAGAATTGTAAGGTTGAAAACGGGGGTAGATATATGTGAAGTTGGAACGGAACGGGTGAAAAAGTGTAAGAGGGGGCTTGGGCAGTAGCATCCAAACTCCGCTCCACCTCGCTCGGTGCAGTAGATAGGTCGACGTTGCTTACCCTCTGCGACGGCCAGAGCTTCAAGAAAGTGTTTTAGGAAAGATCCATTCTTGGCCGGTCTAACATTGCTCGGGTATTTGGTGGTTGTATTAATGAGACCAGCGCAACGGCACTAGTAGAGATCCGATATGCTCTTCATTCATGTTCCTGAGCCTCCGTAGAAGTGGGAGGCGAGTACCTTGGCCTAAACACAGAGGAGCTAATCACTTAGTGTTCGGCACGTTTCGTTAGGCTATATCGCATTTAGCTAACAATTCATGATAGTCAGATACCGTCCTCCATGGCGCAGTTACATAAGCTGCGGGCTAGTTGGCAGGAGCCACTAGCAGTCATGGGTTCGATCCTCCGCAGAGGACCGAAGGATGCGCACCACTGATGAGCCCCAATAGGGCGAAACGGCCGTCTGGTGCTTTTCCGGATAGCTGGTCGACATATCTGAATTGTCGGCTGATTGCGACGAACAAAAATACCAAAATCCTTCCATTCATAAGTAAATTAGTTCATTTCAGTTCAGAGCACCAAGGTGCGGTGGATCCAGTAGTTACGCCTCACCGTAAGAATAACTAATAAACAACAATAAATAACAACGACAAGAAAGTGCGGCTAAAGGCAGCTAGAGTATACAGAAAATGCAAACCCATAACCACCACCACACCAAACCACCAAAAACAAACCACACAAAAAAAACTAAAAAACACACAAACCTAACCCCCACAAACAACACACAAAAAACAAACAATACAAACCAAAAACACCAAAAAAAAACAAAAAAACCAACAAAACAAACAAAAACAAACAACACAAAATCAACCATACCATACCCTCTCTAAACTCAACCAATCATCACCCACCAACCACCCAACCCCCCCCACAATCAACCCCCCCCCACCCCCCCCCCCACCCCCCCCCCCCCCCCCCCCCCCCCCAACCACCCCCCCCCCCCCCCCCCCCCCCCCCCCCCCCCCCCCCCCCCCCCCCCCCCCCCCCCCCCCCCCCCCCCCCCCCCCCCCCCCCCCCCCCCCCCCCCCCCCCCCCCCCCCCCCCCCCCCCCCCCCCCCCCCCCCCCCCCCCCCCCCCCCCCCCCCCCCCCCCCCCCCCCCCCCACCCCCCCCCCCCCCCCCCCCCCCCCCCCCCCCCCCCCCCCCCCCCCCCCCCCCCCCCCCCCCCCCCCCCCCCCCCCCCCCCCCCCCCCCCCCCCCCCCCCCCCCCCCCCCCCCCCCCAACAAAAAAAAACACACACACACACATATTCCCCCCTCCTCTCTACACCATCCCCTATTCCCCCCTTTCTGACACTAACGGTGACAGCTATTAAGGTAAGTGAACCGATCCACCACTTCCAGTGGCTGTTCGGTGATAGCCGGAATCGGAGGTGTGCCGGTACAGTCTCGCAGCAGTACGTTGCACTTTGAACGTGCAAAGCGCATGCCGAAGCGTGCAGCGCTACGCGTCAGTCTCTCCAGTAGTGTTTGCATAGCCACTGCGTCAGCCCCAGAAAGAGCTTTATCGTCCGCATACTCCAGATTTGTCGGTCAGTTACTTGACAGAACTTCCATTCCGGTAGAGTGAGAGAAGCGAATCATTCTTGATCCTTTACATCTCAATTGAATAATTATATATATATATATATATGTATATATATATATATATATATCTGCATTGGCGATATCCATGTCCGAATGTACCAGTCACTGTGGCCTCCACATTGACAGCCACAGAACACCTGCGACTACAGAGGGACTGTGGGTGGTTTGCGATGCACCACTCACAGTTCCAACTACACACCCCATATCCGGTGTAAACCCGAAGGAATAAGACCGGGAGGCGTGTGGATGAGAGCAACGTTTTATCAGCGGAGCCGGCCCACGCCTTATACAAGCAGAACAGAAGCATTCGTGCCTAATTAGGAAATCCTGCGTACCGGACGTACACAAGGCGGTGACTTGGCCCTAGCCCGTTCAACACTGGATGCATGGAATCACTCTTCGAGCGTAGCTCAGTCATGAGAACCGTGCATCCCATCCCCTCCGGCAAGTACCATCTGTCTCCTGGAGCTGTTATGGACGATGTGTGGGTAATAGACAGGTGAGTACCTTGTCAACATTCACATCAGTCACAACCACACCGGGGAGCTTAAACAACATCTACTTCTGAGATGCAAGAATACTCAGTAGGCAGACAAACGTAACACATACGCCGCCTTATTGGCCTGGATTAGTAAATCGAATGGGGGCGTACACATCGTGCTTCTATTCCGCGTGCATTAGTGCCTTCTACACCTGGGCAACCGCCCCCTTGATCAGTCCACGAAATTCGCATCGATCAAATTTGCCTTGGATTCGAAACACCTGAACTCAACATCAGTTCGTCATAAACTCACCTTCTTCTTGTTCTGGTAATGTTATTTTCGGTTTGCCCCAGTACCGCTTCTCTGCACTAAGTTGGCCGTACAAAAGCGGTATGAGTATCCTCGTCGAATCCATTCGGTATACATATATGCATGGATTGGCGTCATCCGTGTCCAACGGCAGTTCGAATACAACATATGCACATGCGTTTGTCCAAAGTTAACTATGAACTGCCACAAAATGGATAAAAGAGACACATTAAACCTTATGAACAATAGTACTAAAAACGTGAATGGGTTTCCTTTGGAAGTCAGGCTAACAGCCACTTGCGCAGGTATGAGAATAAGTACCCCATAAGAACTGTTGGCGTTTTCTTTAGCATTTAGACGTGAACACAAATGACAGCCTTAATTCTTGGGCATCCATATCTGAACGGAACCGATATAGGAATAATCAAGCAACTGCTATCAGTACGGTTACTAGGTAGAATGATACAGAAACAAGTGGTACAGAAAATTAGTGTGTGCTTATGTGTTGCCGTCTATATGTGCAGTCTGGTTTACGTAGCTGATAGGGGAGATTGCACAATGTTCGAATGCGATGCGGTGTTCACTTCAGGCTCTCGGTGTCGCGAACCGGTCCTGTCATCTGCTGCCTGAGCTACATGCGAATTCTCAAAAAACGATTGTTGCGCAACCTTAAGCATTGACAGATGGCAATACCACATATTCGCCGGCCTCGTCGGCCCGACAACTACCACAGTACTACATCAACTAAGTCCCGTTACCGACTGTCAAACATGCGGCTTTCCACACAGTGTTCCCATTGTTTTGTAAATGTCCGAGACATTGCCTGGCTGTCATCCAAGTACTCAGCCGTTTGCACCTACCGCTGCGTACTCTGTTGTAGCCATAAGCTATTTGCCAACGATCTGCACCATACTTTTCGGTTGCAGCCATTTCAGTGCTCCTAAACCAATTGTCGCCATGTGCCGATTCCTTTCCGATGTCATCTACTACGACCTTGACGTACCATTACCGTTGGACTTAACCTTAGTCTATCCAAAAGATTGACCATGTCCAGTTCAACTTCTGGTGAGCGTATCTGCGGTTCCGCCTTCAATCCGCTTGGTACTTGCGTTTTCATAGGCCCCGGTAAATTCAGTATGGCTGATGAACAACGGGAAATATAACTATGCTCACTCTCATCACTAACATGTGGAGCGGAACATGAACTGTCGACAACATGATAAACGCTAACCACTTACTTAATTGTCGGAATTGTTTACTTGCCCTGGATGATCATCCAGGGCGATTTCTGTTCGCATGCATGGTCCGACGTGGTCATACGCGGGAGAAACGTTGAGCATTATATTCCAAATGGTCAACTTTACGTTTTATGCGTACTCCTGTAAGCGGCCAAGCGCTGGTAAACTCTTGATTCAGGCGTATCCACCGAACTGGAAACACCCAATAATTTGCTACCCTAGCATCGATCCGCATCAACAAATCAGTTCGCTCGGAAACTGCGCGCCACGCAAACTACGAATGTGCTCATGGGTGAACTGAACCTTTATCCTGCGATATACCGGCTCTCTAAGCGCCGTGCTAGTTAGCATTGAGCAGCTGGTCAAGTTAGGATCATGTACTCTACCAATCGATTTCAAGGAGCAAAAGAGATAGTGGCAGCCTCGCATAGTCTGGTGAGCAGTACCATGGAGCTTACATAATGATGTGATTGGCGGACGAATAATAATTCGAAGGGGAGGATGCCGTAGTTCTCCGTCTCGGTATGTCACCGTACTAGTATCCACTTGAGTAGGTAGCAAGGGTATCATATGTCACGAAGAGTGCAAAAGTGTAGTGCGCAACACGTGAGGTAATCGCGAAATGCAACCGAGTTAAGTAAGCCCAATAAAAGGGAGGTTACATGTGCCTCTTCCATCTTATACAGGTACAATGAAAATACTGTATTGCACCAAGTCAGTAGTTAATCGTTCTAGGGCGAAACTGTACCCAAGCGAGATTTACCTTAGCGATGGAATAAGGATGACACAAAGAAGATGACGGAGCGTGAGTAGGCAACTTTTCAAGTTTGCAGGGAAATGGTGCGCTTGAGTCAACTGATTTTCATAAGCTCAGATCAGTTAAACTTGGCGGATAAAGAACGGGAATCACAGCTTTAAGCACTCTAACGAATAACCTGAAACAGAACATGAAACATCAACATCATGTTAATCGCTAGTCAGTTACTTGCCGGGACTGTTCACTTTCCATGGATGTTCCGGAGCGATTTATCTTTGGATGCATGGTCCAACTTGGACATGTCCACCAGATTACAAATGTGCCACCAAAGCGAGGAAGCTTTGCTTTTGGATACTGTAATATGTAAGGTGTTTGGAAGCATTGGTAATGGTAAGGTACGGTAAGATAAGCTGAGGTGGGGTAAGTCAGTGTAGCCCAACTGCGGTGAAGAAGCATGGTATATGCAACATCAAATGTCAGCATAGAGGCACTGTACATCATATATATATATATATATATATATATATATATATATATATATATATATATCAACTGAGAACATTCTCTTCTCCTTCACCTTCCCATCTCTCATGTGCTCTACGAATGTAAAACTATCCAAGTCAGCTTGACAATTGGTATCTATAACAGATTGTTGAACGCCAGTAAACAGGGTCAGTACAATACGGTTTTTTTTGGGGGGGGGGGTTGTGTGATGCCACTTAGGACAATCAATAGTTGCTTGTGTAATAGCGAACGATGGCGCTAAGTTGCTAAGCCAAATGCTCTCCATAATTCTTGTCCCAAATTTCATTTCGGGGGATTGCATGTAAGCTAACACCCCCGTCCTCTTAACTTGTGCCACACTGAAACCTTCCGTAAACTGCTGTTTCAGAAGGTTGGAGCAACGTTCGTTTGTTCTCAGTGGCATTAATCGTTCTCATCCCACGAGCTTTTACCAGCCAGTTGCGCTCTAATTTAGTCCTCAGACTCGATCAGACTCATTTTCTGTGTGCTGTACGTCAGTCAATTTTTCACTACTTTGGCTGTTTCGTAATGGTTTGCTTACTCACAATGAAATCTCGTACTTGATGCTTCGCACTCCATTCCGCTTAGCTGCAACGCTTACATCTTGTGTCACGATCCGTCATTTCGCGTTGCTCCAAATGAAAGCAACACCATCATCAATGCCACCACATGTTTCGGTGCATTGCGACGGAGATTCCAACCTCACCGTGCTGATGGTTATTACACCCATTTGCTTTATCCATTCCGGAGATATGTACGCAGCTCTTCTATTTCGGAGAGCTACTACCTAATCGTAATCAGTTTGTCAAACTTTTCAATTATGTTAGATTTATATTTTATCAATACTTCACTGGCAATCTGACTGTCCCTCAATGGAATTCCTTTGCATCATACTCTCATAATATTGACCTACAACTTAGTGGTCATCAATATTTCAGAACTCTGTATTCTGTCTTATTAAACTCTATTTACGCGATTTACCACTGGTTTATTTTCAGGTTCCAGACAGACACAAAAAGGAACGACCCGGTGCGCATCAACGTGAAGTGTTTCTCTTCAACGATATTTTATTAATCACCAAAGCTGTGCAAAAACGGCGGCGGGACGCTACGGTTGCATACCAAGTCCGTATGTGCCTCAGCTTGTTGGGCATGCATTTGTCTACATTTGAAGCTGCACACTATCCGTATGGATTGGAACTTGCAACTTCTCCAACCGATAGCGGTCCACGGAGCTCAGGTGAACCCAACGCTGTGTGCTCTGCACTACCCTCTGCAGGTATTCATACTCGCATTCTTGTGGCCATGAATACCAAGACGGCTTCGGATCGGGCCCGGTTCCTGGAAGATTTGCAAGAGTGTATATTGGAAGTGGCTGAGATGGATCGTATACGGCTGGAGGAAGAGAAGGCAAAAGCGGTGCCGAATCAGAAGAGAATCCCCAAAAAAAGCTCAGGGACGAACGGGGAGCGATTTTATAACAAACCGCCTGATATCATAATGAACCATGTCTCACTGCCTTCACAGTCGAAAACGCAGCTCTCTTGCACTGTTAAGCCAATCAGTGTTCCGTTCCTCACCAACTCACAACACAATGGGGTCTTCATCCGAAAAGCACTTGGTCGAGACTCTCATGATATGGAGTACCGGGGGATACTCTCTAAAACCTCAATATCCGCTGTGGATTTCCCGATATCCAGTCATCACCGAATCGCCACTTGCTCGCCTTACGTGATCGTACCAGGAGCACAGCTGAGTCAGCTGGCAGAGCGAGAGATGAAACACTCTGGCTTGTTGGATGCATCCCAGCATTTAAGCAATGATAGCGGCCTACCGACCGATTTAGAACGCCCTGTGTCACTTCTGACGCAAGTGTCCGTATCCTCCCCATGCAGCTCACCGATTTAACCCCTGGCCACCCCACCCCAATCTCGACTTCAAACTGTAAATTCATCATTTTGATGCGCTTTTTCTCGGGTGCTTTTAACATCCTTGCTAGGTTGCTATTGGTGATACGCTTTCCGATTCCGTTCAGCACTGACGCTAATCTGTGATACTTTGGAGTCCCCCTTAGTCCAACTGTTTTTGGATTCTTTGGAAGCTTTATTTCAATCCATTGCTAACTTTATTATTTATTACAAATCCAGCACCCTTGAGGCTGTAAAATGTTAAACCGTATGTACCACTAGCGGTTGAACGTTATTACCTCACTTAAACCCTTTCTCAGCATTTAAATACAGCCTATGTTTTCTATTCAAAGTTAACAACTATGGCTTACCCAACCAACAGGTGTCAAATTCCTGCAGTTACTGAACAATTCTGTCCGCGTAACTGGTATTTTCAAATTGTCTAACTTGGACGAGTTGGTATGAGAAACTTCAGAAACGCAATGTTTACATGTTCACAAGCCAATCCACGTTCTGGCGTCTCTGGTACTACCCAACTTGGTGCTCCATGCATTTACACTGTTTCTGTATACTGGGAAAACTCATCCGAATGCATTTTTGAGCATGTCGACTGCCGATGTGAGCCCGAGGCCGATGTATATGTTCATATAAGAAAGTAAACTCGGCCCCCAATATAGTATGGAGACGACAAACACTATGACAATATGCTAACGCAAATAAACCTGAGGACATCAGTCTCTGTTGACCATACTGAGTTGCTCTTGAACTTGTGAAGAAAATATTCGTATAAATAGGCAAGAGACTCCACGGCTCACAGAGACTTGTAGGGGCTAGATGCTGACAGATTGTTGACCTGGTGCTGTTAGTGTTGTACCGTGGACTCATGTCCTGGATACATCCTCCTGGCGACCGCTAGGTGAGGGTTGCGTTATACCTTTCTTCTAGCTAAGAACCGCCTGAGTCGGTTCACTGACTGATGGTGCCCGGCCTGATGTCTTTTGGGTGTACATTTTATCAAAGGCTTTGGCTGAGGACTCAATTGGCTTTCCTGTCAAGTGTGGAAGCTCTCTCAGTACACCGCTCCAAACCCAAGCCGTAAAATACACACATACTGGTAATATCATGCTTCATCGGCAGTGGTGGGGAGCAATAACGGCCGCCTTATTTTCTGCATACAGCGAGGTAGACAAACACAAACCTGCCGCCGCTGACGCCTCCCCTCTTCTTCCCTGTCCGCATTTCAACTAATTCACTGTTTCCTCCAGTGAAGATGACCACGCTTGCGATGGCTCATCAACGCAATCGTATGTCTCCATGCAAAACGCCAAACATCGGATACTGGAACTTGCGCACCCTACTCGACCGGAATACGAGTGAGTGTCCCGAGCGACGCACTGCACTGGTCACAATGAAATTCGCTAGCTGCGGGACCAACATTGCCGCCCTCAGTGTCACACGGTTAGCTGCCTGAGGGAAGTTGTATGAGGCTGGTTCTGTGTGCAAGTTCTACTGGGTGAAAATCGCCACCTCAGCACCACGTGTATATGTGGTCGGATTTGCACTATTCGAACGTCTTGCAGCCAGAGGATGGGAGAGCCGACTGGCATCAGCACAAGATCGATTCCTCTCCACTGCGACTTAGAAGAGGTAATTCTTCAACTTTTGTTTGCACGTATGGCCCCATCATGCATTCTGATGAAACAAGGGACCAGTATTACACACATTACTCCTCTGTGATAAGGTCTGTGTCGTGTAACGCCCTCCGAGAATCAAAAACAACGACTGGACTACGATCAGAATCTAGTTGGATCAGAAGGCAACGTAATATAACCAGCGTAACCAGCGCTCCGTTCTACTCCGATTTGCTCTTCCTCGATGGGCTGCGACTGGCGAAAACCCACCATATACATTGATCGAGCCAGTTGGTCATGCGAGCATAACAAGCGACTCGCCCACCCGTGCAGGCGTTGCTGTTTTACTATACCATTTTACAGGCATGTTAGCGCATTGTACCAAGCTTTTAGGGTGACATTTTCGAAATCCCATGCTGTGCTTTCAAGTTAGCGAGGCAAAGAACGCTGTTTTGGCGTTGTTGACACTTTCATTGGTCATGGGACGTTAGCCAATGGGACACCGGTTGGAAGCCCCGAGCATAAGCGACAGACAGTCCAATGAAAGTGCTCGAGCACCACCTTCTGTTTTGTCTTACTGCCCATCTGAAGTAAACCTCGATGATTGGTCTCCAAACTGAAACCGTCCAATGGGCAATTTGTGATGCCTGTCTAAGGAGGAGATCCTAGCTACCACATGAGCCGAAACTTACGCCGTAACCAGTGCGGACAGACATAGTAACCAGCACATGAAGCGGTCGATACTTAGTGATCGTTAGCGGCTACCTGGTGGTAGCTTATTCAGCGGCCTAACCATGGTGGCGTAGACAGGCAATTTTCTAACTGGTATTCCGCAGTCCCTGAGGTCTGGGGGAGTCAGGCAGGCCTGCATTTGCGGTTAGTCAGGCATGCGTTTTGACTTGGGCACTGCATACTCAAACCTGAATCAGCAATAGCTGCTAGGCGGTTAGACAATTTTGTGCGATTGTTATTGCGACGATCATGGGGGACATTGTTCCCCTTGAAGTTGGTAGATCAACCTGAAGCTGAACAACGAAAATTCTATGGGTGCTTACTTCTATCACAGTTGATGACTAAACACAAACTAAGAGGATTCCAAGTGTGGCGTTGACACGACTTTAGTGATTGTTCGTTTGTTTCCATACCCATGGGCGACTGGGTTAATCAGTTATAGCTTCAGTGTCTCCATGTATGGCGTTATTCAAAGGTTATAGGAACCTATGTGTTCATAGGATAATTAGGCTTTACTTCCATATGGTCGCTCATACGTGTTGAGATGCTTTGACAAGTGGTTCTCCGAATGTAGATGGAACCTCCCTATAACGTGCAAGGACTGGAATGCTATCCTCATGAAATCGGCATTACTCAACAAAGAAACACCTGAAAGGGCTACTATGACTACCGTATTTATACATGACACATTGTCCTGCTAGAGAAAACGCAAGGCAGATAATTAGTGGCGACGCAGGCATTTTACTCTGGTAATTCAGGTGAGTATTTGGAACAGACAAACACTGTTGTCTCACCTACGGGCGTCCCTACAATGTGTTTGCAATCATTTACAAAGGCAATCGCGCCCACTAATCCTGCTGTGGACCACTGTTTCAGCCGGTCTTAGAAGCACTCATGTGTGCACGCCGTGACACACGTTGTTATCGACTTAGCAACTACTCGGAAACATTTTGCCATTAGAAAGTAGGTAATTCCGGAGGCATTATTGAGTGAGGAGAATTGTTCTAAATCTTATGCTTACAGTACGTATGCGCTGCTTGTTGGCAGGTCATATCAGGGCCGTGCAGTCACATGGTATTTCAAGCTCATCAATCACATGGAAGTGGGGCGTAAATATCATGTTGAAAAGTAGGATTGACATGCATCTACGACCTTTAGATAACGGCAGATCCATGGGTATTGAAGCGGTAACTGATTACCGAAGGGACCCACAGGTGTGGAGACGAATGAACACTCACTAATGTCGTGTCACCGCCACACTAGGAACCCTCCTCTTTGAAACAATGGCTACAGATCCACTAATGGTCTTACTTATGCAGCGAACTTGACCTTAGTAGACAATGCGCCGACTACATCAGCAGAACGTAGCTACACAATTCACATGAGTGTACGACCAACGGAAACAAAGCACAGGAAGCTTGTAGCTGTAAAGGCTTGAAAATTTCGATTTGCGAACAAGTCCTACCTGTACCTCCTTTATACGTAGTACTGCAGTACTGCATGCACCGCTTGAAGTACCGCTCGAAAGACCCCCTTAAAAACACTTATTGTAGTTCAAAATCTCCCTTAGATGTAGTTGTCCACCTCGTATGTCCTATACCGTGATTACTTGGCAAAAGAAACTGATCAACTCCTTAGTGTTTTCTTGAATACAACAACGCATTCCGCTATGTAAACCGCAAAATGCTGTCGAAAGAACTACTCATTCGTTGTCGGGCTCCCTGTATTAGGCACGACTTAGCCGCTTCAGGGAAAGCGAGTAGTCCGCATACGAGCACAATCAACGTATACGTCAATAACCTAACAAATCGTCTGTTTTACGTTAAGGATCGACATTCTTCCATCATGTGCCTCATCGACATGGGAGCGGAAGTCAGCGTCCTCCTTGCGAACGCGAACGACAAGCACTCAGAGCCTACGTACAATTTGGGTGCGGCCAACATTTCTCCGATAGCTTCATTCGGTCATTGCATGATGAACCTGGACCTCAATCTTTGCCGAGATTTTCAGTGAGTCCTCATGTTTGCGTCCGTACCCTTCGCAATTATCGGTATCGACCTCCTGCGACATTTTGGGTTGCTTGTTGATGTCGGTCGCCACAGACTTTTAGGTGACCGTACTAAATTAGGGTTCGAAGGCGTTCTTACAGACGCTCCGATAATCAGTCCCGGATTTCTGAATCGCCGATGTACCTTCAGATTATGCGAACCTACTGTCTGAATACCCGCGACTGGTACGACCAGCTGCAGATCTTCTGCCAGTCACGACAGAGGTCGCCCATCACATTGTCACGCTTAGTACGTCAATGGGTACCCGACCAAGAGGACTCGCCCCTGACAACTTATGTGCCGCCAGAGCTGAATTCGACCGCATGTTTTAGGTCGGTATCATACGACCATCCAACAGCCCATGGGCGTCACCTCTCCACAATGTTCCGAAAAAGACTATGGGAGACTGGCGTCCTTGTGGCGGTTATCGATCTCTAAGCAACATACCCACGCGTGATCGCTATACTATCCCAGATATCGTGAACCTCACTGCTAGTCTTGGAAGTGAAAACGTTTTCAGTAAAATCGACTTACAACCAAATTCCGGTAGCTGGATCGGGCATCGCTAAAACTGCCCTGCTGACTCCATTTGGTTTGTTCGAGTTTCTGCACGTGCGATTTATTCTTAAGAATACCGCGTAACCGTTTAACCGTTCCATCGACTAAGTTTGTCGTGGCCTATACTTCGGTTATGCGTACCTCGACGACACAATAGTTACAATGCGCACGTTTGCAACTTTTGGTCTTCCGGCAACACTAGTGTCACATAATGGAACAGCATTCACTAATGCCAAATTTTCGGCCTTTCTTACCCCGAACTGCAGTAACCAAGTAACCACTGCGACTCATCATCCATAATCCAACGAATTGGCTGAGAGGGTTGTACAGACTGGGTAGCATATGATACTGAAGCGACCAGCAGCCCCGCTGCGTGTGCCTCTAGACCGTGCCCTTTTTGCTAACCAAAACGGCAAACGAAAACACCGGTAGAAGCTCCACGGAATTGATGTTCGGCAACCGGTTGCGTGCACGTTTGGATTCCTTGAGCAGTCCCCTTGGGTTGCCGGTTTGTGAAAAACGGGGAGAAAGAACGCTCTGACAATTGCAGCAGAGACGGACTCGCAGGAGAATCAGAGCCCATCTATGTCTGTTTACCTAGAGATTACCGGGTGGCAACCATCCGCTGTTAAAACAGCCAATGGGTAGAAACTGAGGACGGCAGGATTGTCCGAGGTCATTTAGACTAAATGCGACCGAGACCGTCGACCTCGGGAACAAGCGGTGAGTCGGACGTGCAAAGGCCGACGTTGTTCGATTCACACGTGGCCGACCCTGA